ACATTTCGAGAAACAGCCGCCTTCCAATCTCAGAAAATCCAATTTTTTCCACTTCGTCTTAGCTCTGTACGACAGGCAGGGGCAGCCGGTGGAGATTGAGAGAACAGCTTTTGTGGACTTTGTGGAGAAAGAGAAAGTAAGTCTGCCTGTTATCTTATTTTTTTTAAAAAAAAAAAAAAAACAAAAAACACAAACCAACCCCAAACCCAACCGTTTAAGCGTGATTTAATTGCTCCAAGATAATTTTCAACCCCGGCAGCCCTAACGGGACTCCAGAGGCGCCCAGACCACGTGCGGGTCTCCCCGTTATTACGGCCGCTCCGAATAGATCCCGGGTTTAGAAACTTAGCGCCGCGTCCCCGACTTGTTTTAACGCGGGGAAAACGGCTAAACATGACATATTTGCACCGAGATAATGACATCATCAGCGCTCCACAAAGTGGGCTGAATTTCTGCAAACTGTTAATTCCGAGCCGCTTCAGGGACGAGAAAAATGTGCGTCAGGAGGAGGGAGATATTTTTCATGCTAAATGTAATTATTTATCGTTACTTGCAGGAGCCAAACAATGAAAAAACTAACAATGGGATTCATTATAAACTTCAGTTATTGTATAGCAATGGTAAGTTGTCGTTACCTCCTTTTTGAACGTCCGTGTGCCGCAGAAAAGTCTCACTTTCCTTTCCGAGGCCTTTTGGAAAAGGAGATAAAGATTTCGAGATTAAAATTACACGCGTGTAAACACGGCTCTTTCCTTGGCATATAAGGAAAACAAAACATAAACGATCAATAAGTCAATGGTACTTCACATGATTAACCGGTTGGTCTTGAAGTGGAAAGTAAAAAAGGGGATCGATAGCTGCTCCAGCAGAACATCACTTTGCAGTGACTTTTTTCACTTTTGCGAATTAATGGTAATTACCGGGCCGGGCTGAGCGCGGGGAGCGGGTAGAGCGGAGCCCGGCCCAGGCGGAGCGGGTGCCCCGCGGGCTTTCCGCGCCCGCGGGGGGACGCGGTGTTGGCGGCCCGAAGCGCCGCTGCTCTCGCGTGTGATCCCTCCAAACCGGGGCCGGGGGGGCTCCTCGGGCACGGCCCCCGAAGCGCCAGACGCCGAGACCTCTGTCATTAGGTGATTTCTGGCTCGTTTTTCTTTTTCTTTTCTTTTTTTTTTTTTTTTAATTTTAATTTTATTTTTAAGCCTGGCGCGAGTGCCGATCCCTGCCCGTTGCTTGCAGTTAATTGCCTGACCTCATACTTTCATTATGTAATTTGGGTGGCTCGCTCTCGAAATCCTAACAGGAATTTGTTTCTGCTTTCCCTCCCCAGGAGTCAGGACGGAGCAGGACCTGTACGTTCGTCTAATAGACTCAATGACCAAACAGGTGAGAAAGTTTACGCTTTTCTTCACACGCAAGTTAC